ATCACCACATATATGATTAAATTAATAATTATTGCTAAGTGTGGGGGCTACGTACGCACGAGGTGACGAGAGTCCGTACGTAGCTACTATTTATGTTAAAGTCCGGGTAGTTTAGGACTCAAATCATGAATTACATGTGTAAATTGTATTCTTTATTTAATTAAATTATTTGTAATATATATTATGAATTGTTAGGGAAAAATATTAAAAGATGGGAATCCTATATACTTAATTTCTGTTTAAATTAATTAATTATTAAAAGAAACTGTCCATCCTCTCGAATTAGTCTTATAATAAATATACTCTCATTCCGGAGGTACATAAGAAAATGTCCTCCTTTCTTGTGGAGCGGGCCGAACGCCTCGACAGTATAGATGTATCTATAGATTACGCCGCACGTCCCTCGGCAGTGTACACGACACTCTGAATCTGGCCGTACGACCTCGGCAGAAATTGTGCCTAATAATAATAATTACACGATACCTTGATATTTTAATTGTAGCTTGTGAATTTAATTAATAGATTAAAAATTATTGCATTTGAAGAAATTTAATTATTTATGTTGGTTAAATAAAATTATTGTTAACTAAGTGAATTATGTTGATTTAAAATATTTTTATTTTTATTTTATTTATTATTATTGACCCTTAGTGAGTGTCAAAGTCGACCATCTCGTCTCTACCTCTTCGAGATTAGGCTTGGTACTTACTGGGTACACGTTGTTTACGTACTCATGTTATACTTGCTGCAGTTTTTTGTGCAGGACCTGATACAAGTGCTATAGTTGGACCTATCAGCGCGCACCCACGATATCCAGAGTCTTAGTGATGAGCTGCCCTTCTGAGCCATTATGCAGCTACCAGTGTCTCTTACTGAATTTTTATTTTGTCTATTCTATTTCAGACAGTATTTATTTTTTTGTATAATCTACTAGATGCTCATATACTTGTGACACCAGGTCTTGGCACACACATTAATAGAATTTTTTTGATTTAATTATTTTCTTGGTTATTTTAATTTACTAGATCCTTTCACATTTGTTTTGATCATTGCAAGTAAGAAGAGTTTAATTACTCGGTTAGTTTTAAAAATAATTGAATATGTGTTTAAATTACTTGTTGACTTGCCTAGCTGTAGTGTTGGGCGTCATCACGACCTTTAGGTGAAACTGGGTCATAACACAAAAATTCAAAAATAACTCCAATTGCATTCAGGTCCAAACACAACTCTAATTTTCAAAATATCATTTTCACTTGAATTTATTTTTCCGGAATTTCACAATTCTTATGTCGAAACGCCACTTAATCTGAATAGTTGTCCATTTAGCCATTGAATGTGTAATATATATTATAACTAATATACGTACACTGCCTAAAAAATATATAGTGAAACTGACTGGGTATTTATATAACCGTGTGAGACACAATAAACCAAATTTGCGTGAGGCTTTGCACACTATTTTTTTTTTACTTTTTTTCTTTTTTTTCTTTACACACGTTCATCCTAAGGTCTCTACTGTTTGCAGTAATTCAAATGTGAGAAAATGATTAAATATACTTTTGAGCAGCTTTAATTATTTAAGTATGATAACAGTGAGCAGTTTTGATCTCTATCAACTATTTAACAAATTTACAAACTTTTTGAAGAAATAGAGAACCTTGCAAAAATAATAGTCAAAGGAGAAAAAGCTCATTCGCCAAAGATTTATTCTTCTTTAAAGATGATCTATTTCATACAAATATTCTAGACTAAGTTATGCTTCTTACTTACCCAAACTTGCCAAAAATGTTCCTTAATTCAGTACGCAGTAGTCTTAATTTAAGTGTTTAAATGATTTTTTTTTTGACAAATTTAAAGGCTGCTTGTGTATTTAGCAAATAGAAAAATTTACAAAGTACTCATATAAAGAGAAAGTAGTACAGAGTTCCTAAAATTTTGGTGTCTGTTGTGGATATTTCGTGCCATGTACATTGAAGATTGACTAGTCTTGACATGGTGAAAAGGCATACCAATGGACTAATGCCTAAGTTATATCTAGCGTTTGGTCGTCGATTTGATTGAAACTTGAAAAAGAGTTTTTAAAATTGTGTTTGAACGTACATTTTATTTGAAAAAAAGTTGAAATTTTATGAACGGAAAAAAAAATTCACCCAAAAGCTGTCCTAAACCAGTTTTTAGGAACTTGAAATTTTTTTTTCAAAATATGATCATATTTCATAAACAAACAATATTTTCAAAAAAAAATTTAAAAAATGAAGCCAAAATATATGTCCAAATGGGAGCATAAAATGACAAGCTTGTTTGGACAAGATTAGTTACCATAAATTGGGATTTTTACCTTCCTATACTATATATTTATTACCCTCTCTAATCAAGTTTTAACTTAATTATATAGGAATATACAATTTATCAATTATATACAAAATAAGTTTAAATAAGTATTCCTTTATATTAGAAATTGAATAAAGAATCTCCATCCCTACGCGTTCTCTCTCTCTTTCTCCGTCTCTCTCTCTCTCTCTCTCTCTCTCTCTCTCTCTCTCTCTCTCTCTCTCTCTCCTTCTATGTTCCTTCCCCAAATTTCTTCCTTCGTTTTTCTCTGCTTTTCATCCTTTTTTTCCTCAGAAAATTCATCAATGAATTTTAATTGTTACAATATAGAGTTTTCTTTTTCATGTTGCACAATTGGTGTTCGAATTGAAATTGCCAATCAATAAATTTTGAAGATATTTGATTCTCCATCATTGACATACATTAAAAAGCTCCGAAGCTTTGAATTCGAATTTGGATTTTCAAAAACTATTATTTGTTTGGATTGGGTGTTGTTGCAAACAATTGAAAATATTTTTTGGAGTTTATAGCTCAATTTTGAGGGTGTTTGGTGAAGATTAGACTTGATTTTGCCTGAATTTCAGATTGAAACTCGAAAAAGAAGAAGAAGAAGAAGAAGAAGAAGAAGAAGAAGAAGAAGAAGAAGAAGAAGAAGACATGACATACACTATACTTACGAAATTGTATTAAAGTTGTATGTAAATTGTATTTAATTGTATTCTGTTGTAGTTATATATTTTTTATTTGAATATTGTATGAAAGTTGAAAAATAGTTGTATAATGTAAGAATCTTTGTATTTAGGTTATAAATACTATCTTTTTACATAAAGTTGTTGATATGTATCAAAATTGTATTAAGAAAGGAATTTTTGATTGAAATTTCTGAGAGGAAGAACACTCCACATACAAAATATATACAAATCATATACAAAAGACATTGAATAAAATTTGTATAAAAATTGTATTTAAGTTGTATGATGTTGTAGTTGTATTTAACTGGGTAAAAATGATATATGAAAGTTGTAGATAAGTTATAAAAAAAAATTGTATACTATATAATTAGTCGTATAAATCATACAAAAACATAGACGATAATCGCAATGATTACTGTGGGTGAAATCCATTACGACCATGAGTTATGATCGCATCCTTGCATTAATTCGTGGGAATAGTTTAGGATAAAAGAATATTTTTGAGCATTTAAAATAAATTGTTTCAACTTTTCTCTGTTTCAAAAAATCCAAACCTTAATTGTGATTCGTTCCTTTCATTATCATCTATATATAGAGGAAGTGATTCTTAAATAATACTTTTTTCCTTTTCATTTTACATAAATACTACAATTAAGGCACTATGGGAAAGAGGAGAAGGAGAAAAAAAAAAGAAGAAAAATGGTGTAACTGAATTCCCTAATATTTTAATTTCATGACCCACAGTGTACATGGAGCTTCTATGACAATAGATACCTAAATACATAAAATGAACTAGACCCAAACACCCACTAGACCTGTAGCGGGCTCACCATAAGCTGAGTAGTGAAGAAGATCCCTATAAAAATCCATATCATCCTGATGAAGTATACCTGCATTCATTAAAAGATGCAGCGCTCCCGGAAAAAGGGATATGAGTACATGTAGAATAGTACTCGTATGTAAGGCAGTCAAAACAACATATAAAAATACGGTAACTCAAATAAGAGGCAAATAAAATACATCAAGAAACTACAAAATATCCCATAAGGTACTAATAATGGATTATATTTGGAGAGAGGCGATAGAGAATAGATAAAGAAGAGAGGAGAGAATAGGTAAAAGATGTAACTAAATCTCCTAATTTAAGGCACTAATAATGAATTGTATATAATTTGTAAGTAATCATTGTTTAGGGCGGGTAATATACAAAATTAGGACAATTTTGGTAAATAAGTTTCAAATATTGTATAGGAAGGAAAAAATCTCCCATAAATTCGTGAGCCCAAGTGTCTTCACCAAGCCAAATTAATAACACTACATAGTCGCTCTCAAAATAATAGCCGAAAATATATATTTTATATATATATATATATATATATATTCTGTATGTTATATATAAAAAAAATATACAAATTTTATACACTCTTTCGACTACCAAACGTAAATAGTCTCTTTTTCTGCCTCCTTAGCCATGGCGAAATTTACAAGTTCCATAATAGGACATATCATTCCTTTATTTAACGGTTCAAAGTCCAATAGATGCTTCTTTTACAGGGAAGGGAAAAAGTTGAAAGATTTAAATGGCAGCACTCCTATCCATAAGCTCTGAGACAGGGAAAGTTGAAAGAAGCAAATAAATAAGGCATTGGCTTTCCAAATTGAGTTTCCCCAACAGCAATGTGCATACTTTATAGTGTTGCCCTGCCTTCAACGTTCAAAAACCCCTCTTGTCTTACCATAGATGATGCACTTAAATAATACAGGGTCACCACTATTAATTCAAATCTTTAAATTCTGTCCTACTTCCACTGCCTACTAACTGGCCATAAGACTTTTTTTGTTGATTCTTTTTCTTTTCAAGTAGGTGTTTCTTTATAGTATTAACAAAAGGAATAAACAGAAAAAGTGGCATTTGAGGAGGAGAATTTGGAAATTCACTGAGAATCTAAGTGTTAAGCATCCCAGGTAAGTTAGCCATGTTTCCATTTTCTTGATTAATTTGTCATTTCCTGATGAATTTAGTGTCAATAGCCAAAAGTCGAATTTTTTCTTTCTTTCTCACGAATCGTAATTGTGATAATAAACAAAGAAAACTTAAGAGAAACACGGTTATGAACAAGTAATAGAGCAAAGTTTCTCTCCTGATGTTCACATTTTCATCTTAGCTTTCACAAATCAATCATTAGACTGAACTAGAACATTCTAGCATGTTGTTTTGTCAAGCATCTTTTTAGTGAGGATTTGAGCATATTTGGCCACACAACCATAACTAGTAATCTCCCCCTTTCCTTTATATATAGAGTATTTGACTGGACTTGAAATCTAAGAAGAAATGATGATTTTTGGCTCGTACTTGTGGTCCTGAATATGTTACGTTTGATATTTGTTACTATAAAAGTATTTTACTAAGGATAAAAACTTTAAAGTTAAAGAGTTTGCCAATGTAGAAAAGTGTTACTCTTTTTGAAATAAACTAAAAAGAAAACTGGGTTACATAAAATAGAATATAGGAAGTAATAATTGCAGGAAAATGTTACAACCTACTTATATTGTCTTCATAATATTGAAAGATAGTGAAAATATGCACATCTTTTAATGATATCGACCCATGCATTGGGGAAAAACTGGACTGGAAGTTTTGCCTTTGCTCTCTGTTCTAGAAGCATGCTTCACCAGTATCTCAATGGGTGGAATTATGTGTGTTGTTAATTCTTCATCATTAATAAACAGACAACTCCACCTTTTTTATTTTTTTACAGAGATCAAGACTAAAGTTGTTGGAATCTTTGTTCATAAACTCTTTTAGTAAGAAGCTAAAATGCCAAGATCAAGGTGAGTTCTTGAAACCATTTGAATCTCACTCACTCAGTAATACTACAGTAGTATTTGTCCAACTCTTTTTCTTTATTAGAGCAGTTTTCTGTTTCAACTTTCATGTTAAATAGGGTATCAGATATGGCTCAAAGGCAATCTCCTAGAGGTCCTTTACAACTCAGAACATCAAGCTCTGATTCTGATCAGAGAACTCCTAAATTGGGAAATCATCGGTCGCCCCGAGGCGCTCAATCTGATCCACTAAATCAAAGGAAACTTGGTACCAGAATTGCAGATTTGGATTCCCAACTTGGGAAAGCACAAGAAGAGCTCAAAAATCTCAAGCAGCAGTTAACTTCAGTGGAAGCAGCAAAGCAAGCAACTCAAGAACAGCTTGAGATAAAAACCAAGAAACCTACTGTCCCACAACCTGAGGAAATCCAAGAACCAAGAGAAACTGATGTTTTTGAAGTTTCACTTGAGAATGTGAAAGTGGAACCACAAAATGTTGATATTTGCAATCCCACTAATGAAGATGAGCTAAAGATCACAGCTTTGTCATATGAGGAGCTGGATTTGAAGAATGAAGAAATAAGCTTGTTGAAAGCCAAGTTGGAGGAGAAAGAAAAAGAGCTTCAAGTTTTTTGTCAAGAAAATGAGAACCTGAAGAAGGAAGTGAATGAAAAGACACTGGAAATTTCATCCAATAAAGCCAAAGCAGAGGAAATGAATCTCAAGTTCAACCAAGTAATTCAAGAACTTGAAACAAGTAAGAGTAATGCTTTTGAGATAAATGAGAAGCTTGAAGCAAGCGAAAAGGCGAAGGAGGAATTAGAGAGTGAGATGAAGAAACTGAGAGTACAAACAGAACAATGGAGGAAAGCTGCAGATGCTGCAGCAGCTGTGCTGGCTGGAGAAGTGGAGATGAATGGGAGAAGGCTTTCTGAGAGGTGTGGATCAATGGATTATAAGCGCTATGGTAATGTATTCGAACCAGAAGTTGGAGGATATGGTAGTTACATGGGTTACCCAGAGGTAAATGATGACTCTGATGATGGTTTTGGACATGTGAAGAGAAAAGGTTCTGGTATTAAGATGTTTGGCGATTTGTGGAGGAAGAAGAGCCAGAAATAAGCTATTTTTAACACTCAGAAAACTTCTTTGTCAAATGTCTTTGTTAGAAAAATGGTTGCTTACCATTTTTGAATCTTCTTCATGACATCCAACCAACACAAATATGTTGTATTTAAATTTCTAGGATAGTTTTCTTGTTTCTTTCTAGCCAAGGAGGTTTGAAACCATAATATGATATTTCTATGGCTTGATAAGAAATGAATCTTCGGCCTAACTCAACCATAAAAGCTAGCTCAAGATCTGAGTTCCTAAGACCATAAAAGGAAACAACACCCAACTCTTTCACCAATATGGAACATTTAACATCTACAATCATATTAGTGGTCAGAAGAATCTTCTTGGATCTATGATCTATGTTTTCACTATAGAGCATACAGAAGTTATATGGCAGAGAACCTTTTCATCTAAGAACAAAAAACATATTGGAGTTTAGATGAAATAAAGGTGTTCTTTTTCAGAATAAATTAGCAGCTAGAGTCATAGAAACTGACCATCTAGGTATCATCATTTTTTTTGGATAACCGTGTTGTCCGGGTCAGTTTGCACGCACCTCGACTAGTTCCATGGGATACTTGCTACCTTCCACGAGCAACAGGTACATGTAACTCTATCCATCAAAGCTGGGAGAAATAACCTAATATTTTTCTACCATCTGGGATCTGAACCTGAGACCTCATGATTCTCAACCCGCTTTAATACTAGAACAAAAAGAACATAACCGTTATTTCTTTCATCTAATCAGTTTGAATGAGCTAACGCATGAGAATAGGTGATCCTATGGAATTGAAAACTGTCCAATGGTGTCTATCCCCTCACAAAACAGTCAAGGAAATAGTTGAAACAGAATATGGTATGATATATGGGAGTTCCACACCTTTAACCTGAGGTGGAAATACATCACATACTACAGAACAAGATAACCATCCTCCAGAAAGTACTTCCATTTCTTCTCATTAAATCAAAGCCTTGAGGTTCCAATCCTGAATTTACTCCATTGAAATGAACAAGCAGAAGTATTTCTTTTCAGCCATAGCAAAGCTTTGTGGATTGTTGATCTTGTTTCGTAGCACTCATACATGAGTATATTACCAATCTTCACTGCACTGCAATGGTCATAATAGAATCTACTATAATAGAAAGCTTTAATAGACCAACAGGCAGAAGCTATTGTAGCACCTTCTTTTTTCCTCTAGCTGTACCATTTGCACTACTGTCCTGTAATTTTAATCAGCTAAAATTTTTCATGAGTTGAAGCGAAATTTTGCACTAAAGTTAGTAGCAAACGGCAACCTATGTCAACTACTACACAAATGAATAACTTTGTAATGCATATAGCACTGCACAAATGATTAATCAAATTGAGTAAAATAAAAAAGAAAAGGTAAAATCAACATTGCTAGTCAAACTTAAAAACCCAATTTTCTTGCCACGGATACTTCAGCAATTAACCCAAAATAACCGGAAAAGCAGTTTAAATATTTGGGGTAGAAAAGAGTGTTAGAACTTTTGTCAACATTTTACAAAAGAATTTTATACCTTATTCTCTCATGTTCCCAATACAGTATATTGGATCCACCTGTATTGTTTCTTTTTCCTACCTTATTTTAATGCAGGGGAATGTCACACATCGTATTGGAGCGGAATGGATGAAATTGAGGCTCGCTTCCGGTGTCTTGTGTGATAAAAATGTGCCACCAAGACTTAAAAAGGGAAGTTCTATAGAGCAGTGGTCAGACCGACTTTGTTGTATGGGGCAGAATATTGGCCAGTCAAGAACTCCCATGTCCAGAAGATGAAGGTGACTGAGATGAGGATGTTGAGATGGATGTGCGGGCATACCAGGTTAGACAGAATTAGAAATGAAGTTATCCGGGACAAAGTGAGTGTGACCTCTGTGGAGGACAAGATCCGGGAGGCGAGACTAAGATGGTTCGGGCATGTGAAGAGGAGAGGCACAAATGCTCCAGTGAGGAGATGTGAGAGGTTGGCCTTGGATGGCCAACGGAGAGGTAGGGACAAGCTGAAAAAGTATTGGGGAGAGATGATTAGGCAAGATATGGCGTTGCTCCGACTTACTGAGGACATGACCAGGAATTGGAAGGTGTGGAGGTTGAGAATTAGGGTAGAGAGATAGGTAGTCGAGTTTTGTCTTTGTTTGTTACAGTAGCTTTAGTACCACTTAGTGTCATTCGTGTATTTTCGTCTTTCTAGACTTCTGTAACTACTTGTTGTTGCCTTCTTTTGGTTTTCTAATTGCACTACCTAGTGTTAGTTTTGTGTTTTCGTTTGGTTTCCTGATTTGCTTGCTTGTCATTGCCCCTTCCCTTTTATCTTTTTTGAGCTGAGGGTGTACCGTAAACAACCTCTACCTTTTTAAAGGTAGGGGGTAAGTCTACGTACACATTACCCTCCCCAGACCTCACTTGTGAGAATACACTCGGTTTGTTGTAGTTGTTGTATTTTAATGCAGGGAAAAAAAGAAAGAAGCGCATCCAAAAGAGAAGCCATTTCCAATCCCATTAACTCAAGGACAGATCCTGCTTCATCTAATTGATGTTCATAAAATCATGTATTACATATGTCATTCTTCTCTGAAAGTGAAGTTAGTTGACAAAGGAAGCACCGCCCAGTTGCGCCTTAGCCAAGAGTAGACTTCGGTCCAACAAAGCCGGTAAAAATATCACTATAAGCGAATAACTGAGACAATACTTTACTTCAGAAGCACAAATAGTAGTTACCAAATAAGTTATAGATACAATTTCGCCAAATCTTATGTGGTCCCACATTGAATTTGCAGCAGCACCTGGATCATTACAGACACTGTCTGAACACATCTATAAACCATGTGATTGGATGAGAAAGGGGATTAATGCACTAAGGATAACTGGAACAGTATCTTGATACTAAAGTTCCACATTCACAGCTCCACAAACAAATTCATTGAGAAAGTGATCTCATCCGATTCAGTTCCAAGGAAAACCACAATCCCCACAACAGACTCACTTTCTTAAATCTAACTACTATGTAGCCCACCTTTTCGGGAAAATAAGGCCACAGGCATTGTTATGAAATCACTCAAGTTTTAAGATATTAAATATGCTTCCCCTTGAAGAAGCGTCTCTTTTCTAATATTCAATGAAATTACCTAACCTTAATTGGAAAAGGAAGAACAGCTCTTTTCTAATACTACTTTGGTGAAACAATATTTGGCGGTTTTATTTGAAGCCAATAAAGGCTGTATTTGCTGGGAATGGGATCAAATAAAATCAGATTGTGGTGAGATTGGGAATAGGCAGGGGAAAGGTGGAGGGGTAAGTGTAGAAGCGCAAGGAGACGGAAGGAAGAAGATGGACAAATTATGGCATAAACTTCTTGGTCGTTGACTGATCTGGGTTCTTAGAATTCGAGGATATAGTTATTGTGTGATCACACAAAGTATGGATTTATCCAGTAAAATGGGACGCCAAAGAACAAGGTAATTAATAGTGAATTACTGGTCACTATTAAGTCACCTATCAATCCTCACCTTTCATGGTCACTACCTAAATGCACAAATGAAATAGATACAACACCTGATTCAAGTCCACACTTTAACTCTGAGTTCTCCAAAATCTAGATCAAGAAAGAGAATGGAATTTTAGTTACCCGTTTGTGCGACCAGAAATCATTCTAGCCCCTCGGAGAGTTTCTGTGCCATTCCAAAATTCAAATGGATTAGTTTCAGAGCTTATTTTCACGGTTTTTTGTTCAAAGACAAAAGAAAGTAAACTGGCATTCTTGCATTCACTGATATCATTCACAAATACCGCAAAGTGGAATTGACGACATTTGAAGTAACTATAGAAATAAAAATAACAATCAAACTCTTTAAGAGCTCTACATGGTTTGTTTTAATACATATAACTACTAGCAAACCATTAAGGAACATTTGGAACACAATCCCTGCGAGTATATGCTGGAATATATGTTAGGAAAGAAATTTGAGATGCTTTGAAGGCAGAAAGTTAGTGTACAGCAACTTAAACATAGTTGCTTATGGCTTTTGGCTTTATGGTGTTATCTTCAGGATGTAAAGGATGAAAATAGCATGTTAGATTTCATACTCTTTGCAAGATTAGGACCTTTTTTGTGTACAGATATCCTTCTTTTTGGTTTTTGTACAGAAGGATTACTGTCTCCTGTACAGTCTTAGCACCAACTTGGTGCTAAGTTGTTGCATTTTCAATGCATAATCTACTTACCTTCTCAAAAAAAAAAAAAAAAAAAAAAAAAAAAAAAAAAACTACTAGGAAATGACATGACGCTTATTCCAAATCACCTAGTACATAACTGTGCAAGCTTAGCAACTTCAGGAAACACATGAGCACAGGAATGCCTCTTGATTGGAACTTCTGTTCTTGTATCTGGAATAAATTAAGAATTTATCGAGTCATCAAATACAAGACACAATAGCTACTATCCACACAACATGATTTAATAGATTGAAATTAAAGAATACCTCCTTCATTTCCTTTCTAATGGACAAACTACAAATCTACTAATCACATTTGCATTAAGATGCTAAAAACGAGGTTGATCTCGTTCAGGGTAACTGAGAAGGGAACACAGATCAAACTATTATGACTTATTTTAATACCTAAATGTTTTACCTAATAGGCAAAAACTACCATTGATCCCAAAAAAGGACTTATTACTGCCTCAAAACCAAGTAATAATTCTTTCTAATTTGGGATATCCCAAAATGTTTAGCGTTATTTCACTGATAATATACCCTTCCAACGATCACCTTATAAAAAAGACTAACAACTTTCAAGAATCCAAATTCATTTAACAAATTTTAAACTTAGATGTATTCTAAACCAAGTTAATTTTCAAACATTATTTTAAAATTTTCTTCCATTACCACTGGTATAATACATAAGTGAAATTAATGTCTTCAACCCCTTGTTCAGTCAAACATAGTCATATGAAATGGGATGGAAGAAGTAAAAGTTACTGGATGCCGCTTCATCAACTAAATAGTAGTAAAAGACAGGAACATCCATTAGAATACAAAATAGTAGGAGTAAGATATAACGAGCACTAAAGCTCTTGCCTGACATTTCTATTCTCTTACGTGTGGCTATATTTCTGAACCTAGGAAGCCATACAGTATGGTTGCAAGTTATTTCTCGTATCAGCAAATCTCTGTTTCTTGT